GCGGCCGCCACGCCCCTCCTTTAAAATAGCGAAAATCAGGGGATGCCGACCTCCTGCTGGAGTCGCTCGCCGCCGCCGGGCAGGTAGCGGGTCACCCATCACCCGGGTCCTGAGGCCACGGAATTTCTTCCTCCAGAACGCCGCACTCTTGGCACCGTACGGTGGCCTTGCCGGGCCAGAAATAGCCAACGCTTTCTGTCGCGCGCAGCCCGTCCGAGCGCCCGAGGGAATGGATTGTTGTGATGGGCAGGCGGGCGCGGGTGCTGGGTGAAGTTCTGAAAGTGCCCCACCTGCCCTGGCCTGTTTGGCTCAGTGGATGGAGCGTCGGCCTGCAGACTCAGGGCCCGGGTTCGATTCCGGTCAAGGGCATGTACCTCGGTTGCCAGCACATGCTCAGTAGGAGGTGTGCAGGAGGCAGCTGATCCGTTTCTAACTCTCTATCCCTCTCCCTTCCTCTCTGTAAAAAATCATACATTAAAAAAATATTAAAGAAAGTGCCCCACCTGGCCCTTCTTTCTACCTGGCTTCTATGGCCCCCCCTTTCTGGCCTTGGTCCATAAACTCGTGGAGAGTGGCCTCTTGACAGCTACCGATAGGATCCCACAGTTTACAGAACACTTACCTGTGCTTTAGGTTAGAACTTACAAGTCACTTTTAACCCGTTTCTGTCTGACCTCAGGCAACTTGCAGCGTTGGCCCTACTTCACTGGCAGTTCAGAGGCGGAGGTTAGGTAACAGTCCTGACACTTAGCGGGAGTGACCTTGGACGAGTTATGTCCTGAGGCCCAGATCCCTGTCCGAAAAGGCACTCCCCTGGCGCTGGTAAGAATTACTGTCGTGGGAATAGTGGTCTGATTCCACTTGCAAGCGGGAGGCACGCAGCAGAGGTGAGGGGCTGAAGGAAACCGGAGAGAACTGTTTGGAGGGAAGAGGCCTTTCATGAGGCTCGTGCAATAGGGGAAGTGTGTGCACTTGGCTTGGGGGGAGCCAACAGGCACCCCCACTGGGTGAAGGGGTAGCCCGGGGATGCCTTTCCTTGCCCACCTCCCTCCAGAGCGCTTTGTAGCTATTGCCTCCAACCTGTTGTCTGGGCTGCTGGAGCGGGGGTATGGGAGACCATGCTACCCAACTTCAACCAACACTCTGCTGAGGGACCTACTGTGTGCCATCGTCCGTCCCCAAGCTCTCCCGGGGGAGCTTAGAGGCAGGCGAGTGAAGGGCAGAAAAACAAAAGACTCTGGAAATTCAGAAGCACGAGGGACCCTTCCGCTCAAGAGAGAACTGGGAACGGCGTCTAGGGCAGGAGGTTTTTGAACTGGGTCTTGGGGGGGTGAATGGGTGGAATTTGGACTCCTGGAGAAAGTTATGGTGCAGGAGATAAGATTGTAAAGGTCAGGTGGCAGGGTCTGAGAGTGCCAGTTCCCACTGCCAGGCGCAGGCACCTGGCCTGTCACTGGTGCGAGAGAGAGATATCAGACTCCACAGGATAATGACAAGGCCACGCAGCGATCTGGAGTGATTAATCCGGCAACCGTTGGGGAAGGGCATTTGTATCAAAATTATGTTCGCCCTGTCCCATGTGAATGCCTACTCAGATGTAGTAAGTGGAAAATAAATAAACCAGGCATCCAGCATGTTCATAAGCATAAAAAATTCATTTCAGATTAGAATGGAAGGTTACTCTGTGGTGAAACCTGAAAAGGAGGAAGAGGTTGGAATTAAACACACCACTGGGCGATACAGGCCAGCAGGGCCACCCTGCCTGGCGCTGAGGCAGTCTGCTGCTTTCATGCCACAGGGGTCCTCTGCCCTCCAGCCTCAGCTCCCTGCCAGACACCCACAGGCCCTTGGTCGGCTCTTCTTCGGTCTATGAATGTTGGAAACCCAGACCTGCTGCTGTGAGTGGCTCTGGCCAGATAAGGTCACCTTAGGTCTCTCCCTAGCAAGGGGTCAATGACTTTCCTTTCCCTTCAGCTCACATTTCCCAGGCCCCTGCAATCATCTGGGCCTATCTCTGCCACGCCCCTTAGGTCCCCAGGCTCCGGCCACGAGGTCAGCACTGCTGGTTCCCTTCCATGAACTTGCTGGTTCTTCTACACGCTCACAAGCTGCCAACATTTCGCCCTCTGGGCCTGGAAGGTCCTGCCTGCTGTTCACCCTTTGCAGACAACAGAGCTTCGCTGCTTTCCCTGACCCCTGCCTCACTCCCCGCACAGCGCTGTTAGCCCTGCCCCCCCCCGCCCCCAGGGCGTCCTTGAATCCCTTCTGTTCCTCTAACTCAGCGGTTCTCAACCTGTGGGTCGCGACCCCTTTGGGGGTCGAACGACCCTTTCACAGGGGTCGCCTAAGACCATCGGAAAACACATATATAATTACATATTGTTTTGTGATTAATCACTACACTCTATGTTCAATTTGTAACAATGAAAATACATCCTGCATATCAGATATTTACATGACGATTCATAACAGTAGCAACATTACAGTTATGAAGTAGCAACAGAAATAATTTTATGGTTGGGGGGTCACCACAACATGAGGAGCTGTATTAAAGGGTTGCGGCATTAGGAAGGTTGAGAACCACTGCTCTAACTGGTCTGTGAACACCAGGTCACACTCCCTTTCTCCTTGACCCATTTTCAACCTCACATTGACCTAGCGACACACATGGGCCACATATATAACCCAGTCAAGGGTTTTATTCCACAAGCCTGTGAGGTGGTCGTTTCCATTTATCCATTAATTTACTGTCATGCTGGTGGGGAGTGAGTCTTAACCCAGCTTTACACCAGAGTTAGCTTGGGACCTTTAACAACCAAACCAGCCAAACAAAACCTGAGAGATTCCGATCGAACTAGTTTGCAGTGGGAGCTGGGCCTTAGTGTGCTTGGAAAGCTCCCCAGGTGTGCTGAGGCTTCCAGCAGCGCTCATGCTGGCGTCCCCCAGGTGCCTACAGATGAGCATCACCTGAACTTGTCCCAGCAGCCCGTGAGCCTGGACCTGCTGCATAGATACCACCTGGGAGCCTGTTAGAACTGACTCTTCTGGCCCGCCCCACCCCACACACAGTGAACTGGTATCTGTATTTAACAAGGTCACCGGGTGATTTGTATATACATTGGGGCCTTGACTTACGAGTTTAATTCGTTCCTAGACCGAGCTTGTTAAGGAGCTCGTTAACTCAAATTACTCTATCAACTCAATGCAAAAAATTGGCTGAGAGACAGCTGGTATCTCAAAAAACTCAGTCGGGACACTCGTAAGTCAAGGCCCCACTGTACTTTAAGGGTTTAAAAGCTAGATTCTAGGTACTGGAAGTTTGGTTTGAAAAAAAATAATCTCCAGTCCGAAAGCAGACCTACTACAAAGTCAGAATATCCAGGGAGAGGCCAGTGGGCTGGTCTACATTTAACACAAGCCCCAGGCAGCTCTTCTTAGGTAATTTTGGGAAACAACACCTCTACATTGATAGCCTGACCCATAGTAATAACCTAACGTTTGACACACAGGCGCCTGCAGGGTCAGGAATATGAGTTAGTCTGCAGCCCATAGAGCAGTGGTTCTCAACCTTCTGGCCCTTTAAATACAGTTCCTCATGCTGTGACCCAACCATAAAGTTAATTTCGTTGCTAATTCATAACTGTCATGTTGCTACTGTTATGAATCGTCATGTAAATATCTGATATGCAGGATGGTCTTAGGTGACCCCTGTGAAAGGGTCGTTCGACCGCCAAAGGGGTCGCGACCCACAGGTTGAGAACCGCTGCCTCAGACAGCGGTTCTCAACTTTGGCTGCACATTAGAATCACCTGGGAATCTTTTTAAAATCCTGATTTCTGGGCCTCATCCTCTGGAACTTCTGTTTCTCTGTTATCGGGTGGGGGCACAACATTAGTAACAAAGAAACAGAGTTTCCGGAGGATGAGGCCCAGAAATGAGGATTTTAAAAAGGTTCCCCGGTGATTCTAATGTGCAGCCAAGGTTGAGAACCACTGCCTTAGGATGCGGACCCAGTGCACTCGCTCTCCCTCCCGGCAGCTCGCCTGTGCCGTTCCCTCCCCACCCCCAGACCCAGCAAGTTACCTTGAGCTTCCTCACTCCAAGCTCCAAGGGCCCTTCCTTTACTTCTGTAACTTGTTCCCTAAGCCCATTTCTTCTAGAAATTACCTTTTCTACCTCTGCAATTTACCCCATAAATGTTTTCTTTCGGTTTGGGTCTTGGCTTTGGATCCTTTCCTATCCAGAACCCAAATACCGAGGTTGCTGAGCTGAGGTTCGGTCTGATCCCATTGGTCAGACACCTGGTGCCGTTCCAGCGCCTGCTACACCGTGAGTGTCCACAGGAGAGGGAAGGTGCACTAGCTGCAGTCAGGGAAGGCTACCTGGAAGAGGACCTACACGGCCTGACGAGGGCTTAAACAAGGTGGGCTCTAGGAAAAGCATGGGATGGGAAGGCGTGTGTACGGAAGGCGGCACCGGGCATCTCATTCTTCCTGGCTTATTCCTGTTCTCCAACTCTGCCTTGTCCCGGGCACACCTCAGACAGGGCGATGCCTCTGGTGGTTTTCAGGGCTCTGAACAGTTGCTGACCTCTGGGAGGGATCGTGGGACACCTTCCTTGTATCTAAGTGACACGTACTTGTGAAATACAAACATTTTTATCGAGCAAGGGCCAAGTCAATAAAACAGCAGTAAACATTTGCACAATGCCCTGGGTTTTCCAAGTAGTTGCATGGCAGT